ACTTTCTATTGGTTATAGGTAATATATAATGAAAGGTAAGAGAGAACCATCAACAAATTCAGAAAGAGAGGATGTGACAGGAGGAGTCTGTTTTCTAATCGATAGCTCTGTAACCAAAAAAAAATTGAATATTATAAAAATTATGGTTTGTCTGAGAAATAATGATTTTATAGAGAGTAATTTACGTTTAATTTCGTACTTTTCTGAGGGGTGATGGATAACATAGAGATGATGATATGCTAAGACAAAATGTGTCATGTGGATTTTTTTAATATTACTTTGTAGAATTAAGAGCTTAAAACTTGTATACTATTAAAATATAGATTTTATGCTATTCTGATTGGTATAACATAAACAAAAAGTAGTTTAATAAAATTGTGAATGTAAGACACTAAAACCTGATTTCATGTGTAGTAAAGGATACCTGTAGCGATAGGGTTAAAGGGCCACACAGGCTATCTAGCAGACATTTTTACTGGCCCGCCAGGATTTTTGGGGACCACTGGTTCCAGGCATCTACTAATTTTGAACCCTGTTGATGTACTATCATTTTGGCCATGCATTTATTTTTTTAAAACATGGTCTTAGAAGCCACTGTTCACATACATAAAGTAGTGTCAGTGAAAGATTTTCAAGGGTTTATTTCTTCTTTTTTCTATGACTAAGTATGCTGTTCTCCACAGAAACTTATTATAGTAAAAATAACAGAATCAAGTTCATAATCATGGCCATCCAACAGGTTCAACATCTATGGAAGAAGTAAATAATTATATTAAGGTGTGTGTGGCCAGATATTGGTTCTCATCATGGTTAGTAGTGTATACCGTCACCCAAGTCTAATTAAGGTTGTGCTGCCAGATATCGGTTCTCATCATGGTTAGTAGTGTATACCATCACCCAAGTCTAATTAAGGTTGTGCAGCCAGATATTGGTTCTTGTCATGGTTAGTAGTGTATACTGTCACCCAAATCTAAATAAGGTTGTGCAGCCAGATATCAGTTCTCATCATGGTTAGTAGTGTATACCGTCACCCAAGTCTAATTAAGGTTGTGCAGCCAGATATCGGTTCTTGTCATAGTTAATAGTGTATATTGTCACCCAAGTCTAATTATTAATTTGTTATTTGTGTAATTACTAGTTACTAATCACCAACTAGTTTTTATTCAAATTTTGGTTGTTAAACTGCTATCATCTTCAGGCAAGTCCTGAGAAAGACTGTTTCTGTGGTGATAGTGACCAGGATTTTATCCTGAGTCTTGAGAGAGAGACTGGTGTGTTATCCACTTGTATGCGGTTGTCCCCATTAGAACTTTAATCAACTGACTTATTTTAATGTTGTCATGGGAGGTATCCAGGTTTTCCCAACTTTTATGCTAGGTGTCTGAGTGTTTTAAGTATTTAGATGGATTCAACAGATGTCATCTTTTTTTTGTGTGTGGTTTATAGTTCATTATTTTGGTATTATTGCAATTTATGTTTGCTTTTCTTTTCTGGAATTAAGGGCTGTTGCAAACAGATCAATATTACATTCTTGTGGGTCTATCATACTCTTGAATTTTTAACTTTTTGTATGTCTTTATGGACTTTAGTACATTAGAGAAAGAAAAGAAGCCTTTTACACCCGCCTAACACATTACACACTCAGCCAATCTAGCACAGACATGAGAAAAACATGGATAACCCTCTTGATAGCTTTTAAGTTAGTGATATGATTAAAATCCTAATTGAGGTGACCCCAGATTAGCAGGTAGCACACCGACATTTCTATCAAGAAGACCGAAGGTCAAGTCTTGTCCACTACCAACAAAGTTTTACCAAAAAATATATTTGATCTTCATTTAGGATGTTCCAGAGGTTATGCAAATGAAATGTAAAAACTGTAAGATTAAAAGAGGTGTATTTTTATTCTTAGAAATAACCTTCATCAGAAATGATGTTATGTACCCTTCCCACAGAAGGGAAATGTGGTGCGTGTTTTTATATGCAAGTTCAACTGATGTGTAAGAATTACTGCAGCATGTGCAAGCTGTCTGGTGCACTATGGACAGTGTACATATGCTGAATCTTTCTTTCAAACATGAACCAATCCTTTATATAGAAACATAGAACTTCTTATGTTACTTCAATTAAAATACATAGAAGTCTTTAATTATGTTCATGAGCCACTTTAGTTGCCTGGATACCACATACTTAACAGTTGTAAAGACAGTCTCAGGAAAGCAAGTCTTTAAAAGTGATGTTGAAATCCTACTAAAAGCTCCATTTTTTAAGTTGCATGTACATGGTGTGAAAGCAAGATACAAAGTAATCTTTAAGATTGATTGGAACTAGTGTTTTTTTATACATAATTTTTTTGCTCATAATTTAAACTGTGCTCTTTTTCATTAAAGCAATTTTTTTCCCAATTTGTTTAGTGCTTCAGGGCATAATTAGCCAGAAAACAGTGAATATTACATCTTACATATAACAAATACAGGATGGTGTTGAGTCATTAGAATAATTTAAAATTACATTTTTAGATTATAAGACATATCACAACTTCATTAACAGATAAATTCCGAAATTTATTGTAAAATATTATATATTGAACTAACACTTCATAGTTAGCTGATGAGACAATATATAGTATGTGGCTAAAGTTATTAATTCATTGAGCTTATCTACATGAGGATCAAAAAATATTTAAAAATTATGCATTATTAACCTTACAGCATCTTCAAAAGAAAAGAAGAAGCCAAATGTGGAAGTTATTGACCTAACTCTTGAGAGTAGTAGTGATGAGGAAGAACTCCCTCCTTCCACATCTCAGTCTACACATCCCTTCACTTTCTATCTGAGTACTGGACAATCTTCAAGTTCACCAAGCTCTTCTGGAGCACCTGGACCTATAGTTTCAATTCCATCTCCTGCATCTCCATCATCATCCAACTCTTCTTTGCCTAGTATCATCAACTGTCCTCTTCCCCCTATTTCATCATCTGTTTCCACTTCTTCAGTAACGAAGCATTATAACAGTTCATTTCTTTCAGTAGCTTCACCTATAGACTCATCCAGTTCGTCCTCATCGTCATCTGCTGCATCATCTACTGGGTAAGTTCAAAATATTTAACAGAATATTAAAAGTGTATGATGTATATCTTTACTTTGACATTTATGTGTATGTACATAATTTACTCATGTTACAGAATTAACATACCACTGATACACTACTTTCTGAGTCTCAAAATATCTTGACTTGTTTCTGAACCAAGTGATAAGCAGATGGAACCTATAGCTGTATTAATATGCGTCGTTCAAATCTTTTCAGTTTCATTCCTCATTCACTGTTTTTGAAAGATAATGTTTGTTGAAGAAGAAAAGGTGTTCATTTCTGTTGCAACATTATCATAGTTATCATTAGTGGGGATCTAGGTCCCAAGTGATATGTAGTCTTTAAAAATATCATTGTTATCACTTGTGGGGATCTAGGCCCTAATTGATGTATAGTCTTTAAAAAATTGGATTATACATTACCAAACACTTTTCTTCACTTTTGTTTAGTTTTATAATACATTATTATCTGTTAAGATTTGTATAAAAACCAAAAGTGCATGATTTCATGTGAATTTTCCTTCAAAATCTGAAATAAAAATACATTTCAGAAGAACAAACAAAAGATAAATAATAGTCTTTTGTTCTTTGGTATGATATGTATGTTTTATAGTATATGTAGTTTCAAACAGTAGCTGCTCTGAGATACATCTCCTCAAGGCATGTTGACTGCAAGTTGTTCTGAAGTGCATCTCCTCCAGGCATGTTGACTGCAAGCTGCTTTGAGATGCATCTCCTTAGGGCATGTTTACTGCAAGCTGCTTTGAGATGCATCTCCTTAGGGCACGTTGACTGCAAGCTGCGTTGAGATACACCTCCTCAGGGCATGTTGACTGCAAGCTGTTCTGAAGTGCATCTCCTCCAGGCATGTTGACTGCAAGTTCTGAAGTGTATCTCCTCAGGGCACATTGACTGCAAGCTGCTTTGAGATGCATCTCCTCAGGGCACGTTGACTGCAAGCTGCTTTGAGATGCATCTCCTTCGGGCACGTTGACTGCAAGCCGCTTTGAGATGCATCTCCTCAGGGCATGTTGACTACAAGCTGCTTTGAGATGCATCTCCTTAGGGCACATTGACTGCAAGCTGCTTTGAGATATACCTCCTCAGGGCACATTGACTGCAAGCTGGTTTGAGATATACCTCCTCAGGGCACATTGACTGCAAGCT